TTGATGGCAGCTAGCACCGGGCCCACGGCTTTGCCCTCTTCCCCCTCCTCCACAATCTCCACCTCTGCGTTAGTCTCTTCAACAGCTTCATCACGTAAAGGACCAAGGTCACTTCTAGCAGGGCGCTCCGGCACCAAATTATCGTTCCGCATATTCGATAATTTACATAACTCTCTTAGAGCCGTTTCGTGAATGTGTGCGAGATCCCAAGCTAGAGCCGTTAGATGAGCTCCCGCTAAACGAATCGTTGCCAAACGTCGACTCACATGACATCTATCCAAGCGAGTTACATACGAAAACCTAAAAACCAAAAAAATAGTAAAGAAGTGAAAAGACCAAAATGCTAAAATAGTACAAGTGCAATAAAACGAAAGTAAGAGCAAAAAGAATAAAGCGAAACCAAACCTGTGGGGAACTCCGTGAAGTTTGGATTCCTGGCGAACGTGAACGAGCAGCCGAGCAAACCGAGCAAAGAAAGCTAGGTTCTTGGGCGTGGGCTTGAGGAAAGACGAGCGCACATGGCTCCCCTGACTCGAGGGGGAGGGACTTATATAGGCACCCACCGTGTGGCACAAGCTTTGAGGAACCGATGTGATGGTTCGCATAACCACCGCAACGGTTAGAATTCCAAGAAACAGTAACCCTGGCATGAGAACCAAAAAATGGAAAAAAGATCGTTCCATAAAAAATCATTAACTCATCCCACATTAGTACAACCACCGCCGCGGATCTCCACTCTTCACCGAGGACAACGTCCGAGCCCCTTAGCACATCGCTCCCGCAAATAGCGTAAGGCATCCGCACGGAGATCGAAAGCCTCTTTGCGCGGTGCCGAGGGGCTCATGTTGGGGGCATGACCGACCTTTGGGCACCCCAGTCAGGTCTCGGACGCCGCCCTGCTTTCGCAAGTAAAGACGCGCCAAGCATTTTGCTCGGGTGAAATGACGAGATGCATAAGCGGAGGGACAAGGCTTCATGTCGCAGGGCTCTATCGACTAAAGTGGGGCGACGGCGGTGATAACTATACCCTTTCGCAATATCACCTAGGATCCGCAGTCTACCCGGACATTTTGCTTAGGTGAATGCGACGACGACACCGTTAGGTGGGGAGCTGTCTTTTGCCCTAACGAAAGGAGCGGGGTGGCCTGGATGAGCGCGGCCGGAGGCGTCACGTCGTTTCGAGCTATTCACCTAGGCGAATAGTCTTTGGTGGCTCATGTGATTGGTTTTGCAGGTTTTTGTCGGACCTATGGCCGGCCGTCTTCATGGCGCCGACAGCCTCTGTTCGTTGGGACCCGTGCTGTCGAGCAGGGGGCGACATGAGGTGAGGCCGGTCAGGACCCTCGGGGCTGGCGTTACCTAAGGTGGGCGTCGACTCCGAATGGCAGGCAAGCCCACGGTTTTGGGGAATATTCCCCGAATATGTAGTAGTTGGAAGGGCATTCTTGTCTGGTGAAAAGCCTACGAGTGTGTATAAATAGCCCCCATCGGGGAGTGTAAAGAGGAGAAACAAGATCAATGAAATAGTCTATTTTTGTTTCGTTGCGTTTTTCCTTCATTTCGCATCTGAATTCACTTGCGCGATGACCTGTTGTTCGAAGGCTAGGGCCTTGAACAACACATTCTTAGTTATCTTGAGTAGAGGTAGTTTGAGTAGTGTAGCTCTCTTGAGTATTGCAGAATTAGTTAGCTAGCTAGTTATCTTGCTAGAAGTAATTAGTTCTTGCTAGCTCACTAGTTTAGAGAGTAGTGACATAGCTCTTATGTGCCTAGAGATCATACTTAACTAGAATTGTGGATAGGTGGCTTGCAATCCTATTAGAGATAGAGCAAAAAGCATTTGTTGCCATTTAGTGTTCTAACCACTTGCTCTAGTATTTTGTAGAAGTTTTTATTGGCTATTCTCACCCCCTCTAGCCATTTAAAACCTTCAAATGCCCCATCTAAAAGGCACTGTGAGCTATGAAATTCACTATGCTAGGTACCATACGATACCAGAGGGCTATAGTGATTGGATATCTGATGCTAATGAGATTTACGTCAAAAGTGGATATATGCTTGCAAGGTGCATTGTAGGAGCTATTTGGCTGATAGTTTCTACGGCTGATAAGCCGGCTGAAGCTGATTGTTTTGAGAGAATGATGTGACATGACATGACATGCACTGGCCAGGCTAGAATAATTCCTGCGGGAGAGTAATGTGGTAGTTTCATATGTTAATCTAAGTAATGCGTAGCGATTACTATTTCATGATTATTCCTTGCAGTAACACAGTGACATCTAGGTTCATCCCTCCCTCTGCTGGCACATAAGACGAGGTGGCCTCCCGCTCTCTCTCGCGCACCTGAGAATTCCACTGCACCATCACCTTTCTTAGTTTCCATTGTATTTCATGTTTCCCCATTGAAACACATGTGTGCATAGGTGTTCGAGGAGCAGGCCTCCAGAACCGTCTCCTGTCTATGACACCTTCTTAGGTGTGTGAGTGGTAAAAAGTTTTTGGGGAGGGCATCTTCATCATGTGACTACCTGTTCCTGTACGACTGCTTCTCGGCGACCAGAGGTCCAACACACCCATATGACTACTTCATGGTGACTAGAAGCTCCAACAAGATGTACCTGTTCATTGGACTGCACTGCATACCCCGTCCTACGTCAACTATGGTCCATGACATCAGCAAGCTCACTATGTCACCTAGTGGGAACGACACCATCAGTGCCTCTACCATTGCTCCCGACTCAGGTTATAGTGCATATTTGGGACTGCTCCACAAACTCTGTTCCATAAAATCCATTGTGGAGCGGATCCATAAAAACTTGAGAGTTTGTGGAGCACCCCTTTAGGTGCTCTCACAACTTCACTTTTTTCCTTGAACTGAGTGCATGGAGCTTAACTTGTTTGGCTAAAAGAACATAGAGTGAAGCTGAAAAACATGGAGTGGAGCCGTCCCAAACACCTTCATAATATTGCTACTACTAGGACTACTCCCCGCCCTCTCCACTATTAAGTTTCTAACCAAATTGATGTGGGCCTTTGTTCCCTCCAGTACACCATCGGTAACCATACTACAAACACGGTTGGTGTGATCGCGCAAGATTACACGGCACTCTAGTTACAGCAATAGAGCACGCAAGCACCGAGTAGCAAGAGGTATATAAACCTCACTAAACACTAGGCCTAAACCTAAAGCAAGCACTAACAAGCAGCCTCTAATTAGCCTAAGCACTTCACAAAACACTAATGCTAATCATCTAATCTTCCTTAAGCACTTCTGTTGGCCAGAGCATAAAGAGATGAGCCTCAACTCACTAGAACCTTTCCTTACCTCCAATAATACTCAAATGGCCGGTTGGGGTGGTATATATTCCTTACCTCCAATAATACTCAAATGGTCGGTTGGGGTGGTATATATAGCCTGCAACCATAAATATAACCATTGGCATTTGGTCTACGCACGTGAAGTGATCATCAGAAACCATAGGGGCGGTGATACCATTGGAGAGTTCTGGTGACTGCCACGTCGACTAGCCGTTGTCGATCATTGGAGAGCCTAAGATCTGATGGTGGATCTTCAATTTGGTGATCACCGGATGTTTTTGGTGAGGCTAAAAACCTTCTTCGTATCATATGTATAGCACCTTTATTCTATGGTGCCTTGCATCGGAAGGTTTCGGTGCCCTCTGTCTTCTCTCCACTGTGTCTCCAACTATTCTAGCCCTAAAATCCATTGGTGTGGTCTCCCGTGACGAAGGGAAGTATAGATGAGATCTTCCTCTTTGCACTTAGACTGAATAGTAAGCTAAGCTCCGGTCCTTAGCAACTCTGGTGAGTATAAGACGATCAGATCGATTCATTTGTACACTGCTTTATTCTTTGGTGCTTCACTTTATTATACCACTGGAGCTTCCTGATGACACTATCCAATCCACTTTGAGCTTGTTTTCTTCGCATTATCTCGTCTGAGCTTCTTCTACTTGTTGCGTTGGACTTCGTAAATGTCTTCAACCTTGCTTGATGTATTGATCACTTGAATTTCACGTTGTCTTATCCAAATCCATCCTTGTATGCGTAGGGCTTTAACTTGTACGATCATGTTGTCACTCAATTACCAAAAATCACATAAAGACCCTAGCTAGGTGTCATTTTCGTTACGGCTATCACAAACATTTTGTTATTTTTCTAGATTAAATTGTGCTTGAATTTGCATTATTGCCTAATTATCTAACATGCTATACCGGATAAAATCAGGGTTTGAGTGAGTCTAGAGGTGTTTGGTTGCTAGCCACACTTCACCTTAGGCAACTTTGACCAAATTGGTAATTGTGTTTTGTTGACAATTAAACTTAGACAGTAGTATTTTTGGCTCCACACATGTCATAGAGTAAAATTATGGCAAGATTCCTTGAGGCATGGTAAAGTGTGGTTTTAAAAAAAAATTTGCCACACTTCTCGGCGTTTAGCCATTCCAACCCTAGAATAAATATAATAACCATATTCCATCTTCTCATCCCTTCACACTCGACTAGAGGGCAGGATTCATTCATCCAATTGATGGCACTTTACTAAGAGAAAAAAATAGGTCAGAAACCCCGTCAAATCGATTCAACTGTGGCTTGTCTAAACTTAGTTATGGTAATTTATGGCTGTGAACCAAACAACCCCAGAATTTTCACATTGATTTTCTTTTCCTGTCGGAAGCATTTTTTTCCTATATATACTGGATAAAATCAGTGTTCGAGTGATTCCAATCTTCACATTTATTTCCTTTTTCTGTCTGAAGCATTTTTTTCTATTTTCTTTTTGGCGTCCCTTTTTGTACTTGTCAAACGATTGTCACGTACGGAGAGTACGGACCCACCCCCTCCTCCCCTGCCCGGCTGCCCCCTTCCTCCTCAGTTCTCCCGCCCTGCGCGCGGTGAGCTCAGGTACAAATAGGAGACCGCCCCAGCCATGACTTGGTAGCCTCCAAAGATGAGAGGGACACCCGCACCGTTCTGCTCATGGACGCCATCTTCTCGCTCGCGGCGGGGCCCCGGGCGCGCGTCCTGGAGCGCGCAGCGGCCCGCATCCCCGGCTGCCTCTACATCTGCCTTTGGGCGCCGATGATGATCGCCGGCCCGCTCCCTTCCAGGTAGGTCGCCATTCTTGCTGCTTCCATGTGCTCTCGTCCGTTGCTTTCCCCCTGGCGTTCCTTCGTGCGATGGTGTGCATTTGAATGGGCAGCCATTTGTTTTGCGTGGACGCGTGGATCACCAACGACGGTGGCGGTCGCGCAAGGGCGGTGTTCGAGGAGTACCGGAGAGCGTTCTGCGCCATCGTGAGCGGGTTAGCTTGCATTGCAACTCCATTTCAGGTTCAGCCCATGGATTGTTTAGCTCCATTTGTTTCTCACGGTGGTGGTCGCCGAGCGAGTTCGCAGCTGCGTGCCCGGCTGGGCGTACAAGGACGGCCGCCCGTACATGGAGCTGTCGGAGACGGACCTCACGTCGTCGGCGTCGCTGCCGGTGCAGCTGCAGTTCTACCACGTCAGTATATGCGCCATCTCATCCTGCAAACGTTAGGTAGATTAGTTTCTCTTTCAAGTCCACTTCATGCTACCTGATTGCTGACATTTCTGCACTGTCGATGTTGTTGTGACAGGAAGCCGGCACGAAGGTACGTTTCTCGATTATTGGTGCGCTGCATTGCATTCCATAAATGTAGATGACGACCGTGCAGCTGATCTGCTCGAGGTGGTGGTGCAGATGGCGGTGTTCATGGGCTGCGACAACGGCGAGATCGAGGTTGGGCTGTCGAGCACCTCGGCGCCGGCGGTGGTGAGCCACGTGCAGCACTCGCTCCTGGAGGAGCTCATGCAGGCAGCGCCAACGGTGCCTTCGTCTTCGTCGTCCTCCCTGCCGTCCATCTCCATCGGGAGCCCCGAGTACTCCTCGTTCATCCGCTCAATGGCCACGTTGGCTAACGCCACCGGCGGCGCCGAGCCATCTTCTCAAGAACTGCAGCTGCACCCGGCTGTGCCGCTGCCCGGCTTGCCCGCGCCGGTATATGGCCCACACGGCCAAGCGCCGTTCCTTGACCCCGATAACGAGGAGGCTGCAATGACGCAGGCAATTCTCGCCGTCATCTCCTCCTCCGCGCCGCCACCGCCGGCGTCCTCTCCATGGCTCGTCCGCCACCGTCCTCAACGGTCGTCGCCGCGGCGTTGGAGGGGGGCGTTCAGGGCGTACAACGCGGCGCTCTCACCGCGAGCGCGGCCACGGTCGGGCGGGCCGGGGCAGAGGATGATCAAGACGGCCATCGCGCTCATGATGAGCGTGCAAATGGCAATGCGCGACCGGGAGCTCGCAGAAGCGCGCCAACATGAGGATGCCGCCGCCGCCGCCGCCGCGCAGCCACCTCCGCCGACGCAGCAGCAGCACACCAGCAGCCAGCTTCACCACATGTTCTCGGAGCGGCGCCGGCGCGAGCGCCTGAACGAGAGCTTCCAGACTCTCAGAGCACTGCTTCCTCCCGGAACAAAGGTACGATCGAATACCATTGCATTGCTTGGCTTGCAGGAGTTCACGACATCGCGAATTTGATAGTACTAACATTTACACGTGCAATGGTGATCGATCTGAAGAAGGACAAGGCCACGGTTCTTGCAAACACGACGGAGTACATGAACAAGCTGATCGCCGAAGTGTCGGAGCTCGAGGAGAGGAACCGGAGGTTGGAGGCGCAGCTTGGCCTTGGCCTGCCGGGCGAGACCCAGCAAACGCCAAGCGACGGCGACCCATCGGAGAGAGTGGCCGTTGATGTGACCACCGGCGCATCGACCTCGAGTTCAACGTCCTGTCAACCTCAGGAGGTGAGCATTAGGGTGACGGTGCGGGCTGAGTGCGATCTGTCGGAGGTTGTGGTCGCCATGCTCGCCCGGATCAAGGCGATGGGGCACTTCACCGTGGTGACCGTCGATGCTCGGCAGCGGAGCAGCGCCCATGCACAAGTCGGCATCACATTGCGAGCCGCGGTACGGACTCAAAATTACTCCATATCTGTTTTCAAATATATTTTTGTTTTAAATTTTGTCAAGTTAAACTTTGTTAATTTTGACTTAATTTATGCCTATATAAGATATATTTCCTTATGACTTTAATGAAATGATAGATGGTGATGTATTTTTCTAAAATTTACTAGTCAAATTTTAAAACCTTAGACTTACTACACAACTGAAACGCCGGTAATAAGCTTCATGAACTAGCTGTTCTATTTAACGTGGTTATCGCAATTTAGATTCTACAACTAGGCCAGCCAAAGTTAGTCTACTCTCAAACATACAATTATATTCTTTTTGGAACTGAGAGAATAGAATACGATTTTTATAATTACAGTTAGTAGAACTTACCATTTCATGATTCTGCTTTTGGTTGGGTGTATATGGGTTGGCATGGCCTGTGGGATTTAGGGAAAAGTTGTTTGGATGTTTGTATATCGACTTAGGCTAGGTTCAACTTATGCAAAATTCAGCATGGCTCCGTACAAACGAGATTGAAATCCGTTTCTCACAGTCCTGGCCAACACGATGTAGCTTGGTGCTTTTGATGTATACGTTGTCTCTAAATCGGGTCAAATGTTCATGCAACCAATCAACACTCCGATACAACCAGGCCAGAGCAATATAATCAACCCAACACTGAGTCCTTACATCATCTTAGCTTGGCCAGAGTGAGCTTGCATCCAAAATATGAGCAGGTTGATTGCTTTGGTTAGCGAAGAGAACCAAACATGGATGTTACCAATAAAAGCATTAGTTTAAGATTTGTGTGGTTCTGACGACGTCTTGATTTAACATTACATATACACAACAATCATGCAACATAAGACAATCCTACGTGGACGAACTAGCCAATACTACATGGTACAATAGTACGGTCAATATTCTATTTTGATGTTTGACCTGCATGGGTCTACCATATTGACGACGGCGCCCTGGAGAGGAGATGAAGAAAAATTGATGTGCTTGACCTGGCTTGGAAAAATCTTTGAAATATGGCCCTTGAATTGAACTCTAAAAAAAGTCTTTGAAATGTCCAAGGAAAAACTAGCTCAAATCTGTAAAGGATAGTTTAGTGGAAGAAAAGACAAAAGACCTTTAAAGAATCTTGACCAGTTTTGCCTGTAGTAATAAAAACCGTTGACTGCATCTATCTAGGTCAAATTGGCTGCTAACTAACCATGCTCTCCCTTTGAATTGGTTCTACAACACATGACTCCGTCACATGACTCACTCAAACGTAGATGTCGTTTGGTTCGAGTAAATGTAACGGGACCTGTTTACGGACGGTAACAGATGCCGTTGCTTCTGTTTGTTTCAGCCCACGCGTAATCAACTCGCGCCGTTATCTGATATCGTACTATACCTCTCCAACCCCAGCGCAATCGAATACCAGTCTATACCAATTAGAAAAACAGAAGCGAATCCGCCGTCGGGATAGCAGAGGAGCCCGCCGTCGAGTGGTCGAGGAAGCCGAGGAGCTCGTCCTGGCTCCACCCCCTGCACGGGCTGGCACTCGAACGCCCAGATCTGGCCGCCTCCTCGTCAACGCGAGCCGGCGGGCATCATCGTCTCTCTCCAACACCTTCTCCCGGGCCCCGCTACAGATCTGCCCGCGTCGTGGTTCCCGCACCCGGCCTAGCCGTCCTCCCCTGCCATGAGCTCACAGACGTCGATGACCGGGAGGTTGGGGTCAACGCCGCAGAAGCTGGCGATGTATGGCCACGCCGCGGAGGCTGAGGTCAACGGCGAAGGAGTGGAGAATTGATTTCGTGCTTTTTGCCTGAATCTGCTGTTCTTGCTCAGTTTGTTACCGTTACAAAAGGCCAACCAAACAAATCAAGTAATGGCTTCCATTGTTAACGTTACCACTGTTTTTCCATTCCCTTTGCGTTTGCGTTTCCTTAGCTCAACCATACACCATGGTAGTTGAATGCGCGCATGCTAAATAAACTTGGTAAAGTAACTTTTGTTTATGTATTCTCCTCTCAAGTCTCAACACTGAAATCTATCAGTAGCGTTCTTCTGAAGTAACATACTTTTCAAACACGAATTAAGAAGGATCATTTTCTTAATTCTTAGGCATTTCTGAATACGCAGATGATGAAAAAAAAGCACATCCCCTCTTAAAGCAGTTTGTTTGACTGCACTCGTATTTATCTCAATCCTAATTCAACCACTCTATTTTTCTCAATCCTAATTCAACTAGTTTCTACCACAATCTACTACAATACATGTGTATTAAGGTGAATATATGAATGTAATCAAACGAAGCCTTAACAAGTTTATAAAACCACGAATGTTCCCTGATGTATGGATGATGTGATCTTTCAAATTAAGATACCGTACCGTCTACATCTAGGTGCACTTTCTTAATCAGTTGTTTCTGACGACGCCGTCATGCTGACAAATAAAGATTCATAATAACTAATGACTAGTGTGATGAAGGAGAGCTTTGAAAAGTATATGTGTAGTAGCTAGATATGAGTACCATGCTGGTCAAAGTACTTGTTGGTGAAGCCTGGCTAACGATGGGTACCACTACTTGTCAAATGAACGATGCAGGGTGGCAACGACGAGCTCGACGAGACATCCCTCAAGGAAGCTGTGGCGAAGGCTGTCGAGGATGCGGTGGCAAGACCTCCATCGCCGCCGTAAGCTGGGGGGCCGCCGCGCCGGAGCTTTTTCTAGCTCGGCTAGCACATCAGTTTTGACCGGATCAGGGAAAGGGAAAGACTAGCTAGTACTGGTGGCAGCGATCTGTCCGTTTCAATTTTGTAGTCATTTTTTCCCTGTCTTGTGCTCCTTTAGGTAAGATTTGATTTGACTAGGACTCTTTTGTTTTGGCGTTGTTGTTGTTGTAGTAGGTGAGGTCAGCTATCAAGGGAGAGGTAAAGTACATACCAGGATGAATCACATGAGAGATTACAACCGTAAAGGCACAGTTTCTTTTCCATGTAATGCCCAATGTTGTAATGTTTGCTTTTTTTTAGAACTTTGTGTAATGTTGTAATGTTGCTTTTACTTATGCTAAACAAGGTTTGTACCTTCTTTTATGCAGAACTACAGCCCTAAAGACTCCTCTATCACAAATATTATTAAAGAGCTAAAATGTGTACCTCATTCTTTCAGTCTTGTGGAGGTTATGATCCTCGGGTGTCTCAATGCATCGATTAGTTAGCAGGCCGAGCGGCCCACGATACATCAGCTAGCGAAGGCCCGAACGACCGAGACCCAGCTGAGCCAAATGAACCAGGCCGGACGCCAAGGCCAGGGTCAGCCACGACCCCTCCCTTCTGACTTAGCCGCACGACGCACAAGAAACTCACGGCCTCTCTACCATCCCGACCCCTGGGAAGAACGAGGAGAGGTCAGACCCAGCCAAGCATGCCTGCTCTAACAGGAGTGAGCACGCCGCACTGACCCCGCAAGGACCGATGGGACAACGGTCACCTCGGTCCGGTCAGACGTGATCCCTGCGCCACGCAGCATGGACAAGAGAACACCGCACGGCAGCGACTGCTAGTACGGCAACCCACCATCCAAATACGGTCTAACAAGATGCATGTATGATTCTACCCACAACGGGATGGGATCTACGACGGAGACCTTGACTTGGAGGCCATCCAAACCGGCGAGAGCCATGACCCCAAAGCTCGGGATCGTGACCACCAACTCCACAAGACGACCAGGCGACCGGCTACTTGGGGGCGGCTACCAACTCCTATAGCATGCCCCTAGGAAATCAGGAGGCGGTGACAAAGACCACAACGGAGACCACATTGCACAGGATGGTTGGCGAACCACCATAGTGCCTACAGTGCCGCCACGACCGGCACAGTAGCACCACGCCACACCATACCACGACGTGGCTATAAGACTATGATGAAAGCCATGCCCGGACGTGCATCTCAAGACGGCGTAGCTTGCAAGCCAAGTTAGCTAGGTCCCTCCCTCAGGCTCATGACCCTTCAGTCGAGAGAACCTTCTTCTTTGTACATGCCCTGGCACCGAACTCTATATAAGGGCAGCCAGGGCATCCTTCCCACCATCTTGAATCTTACACATTCTCACATTCATTCTCATTTTCACACCACCGGACTCCTGAAGCTTCCCTTCAGGTAGTTCATCTCTTAACTCTAGCTCTCCTACCTCTTCCACCATTCTTGCATCCCCCATTGTAAGAACTTCAGAGCATTCAAGCGAGGAACATGCACTCGATCATCTCTAAGACTGGAGGTAGGGCTTCGGCCTGAACCAGTATAAATCCTTATGTCTTTTGGATACTATCATCATTTTCCTAGAGCAGCGTGGCAATCCTATAAATTTACTAGTCCGGTTTACAAAATACCGATAGTTGGCACGCCGGGTAGGGGACAGTCACGCACTCTCATTGTTAAGAAGGAAGTGATGGCTCCCTGCACCTACGTCGGACTTGCTCTTTGCATGGCCCCCGGTGGCCGCATCCGCTTCGGAAGCCTTGAGTTCGCTGACATCAATGGGCCAGCTCCCGTTAACAGTCTTCTCCACGGCCAAGCCCTGCGCTTCAGGGACCTGGACTTCATAGCGGACCATCTGGGTCAGCTACAACTTAGCAAAGAGAATGCGGCTCCACCACACATCTCGATGCTTGATCATGGACTGGCACGCGCCGGTCCGGTGATCATTGATTCTGATGCGCTAGCATGCAGAATCGATGCCTATCTCGGGGAAAATCCCAAGCTAGAGCTAAGTCTATGCGTTTTCTACGTGTTGGCGAACGCCTTTGCCCAACTCTACGAAAGCGGGCCCCTACCGCTAGAGGCTAAATTCTAGAACCCTAGCTCCACACTACCCTCCGAAATGAGGGACACGATCACACTCTTCGAGCGAGAGCTAGCCAGGCGCAATGGCTGTATGATGACGCCAGATTCCTCTGGGTTTGTGGGGATGATGGAGCAGGATCCAGAGTTCGTCTATGACCTCCTGCTGGCGACCCCTGAGAACATGGACTTTGAGTCTGATTCTGAGGGGAGCTGTCACCTGCTAAGGGAATGCAACATGTTGCACCTCTCGGAGGATGGGGCGGCACTAGCGGAGGACGTAGAGGACGATGCCTATCCGATTCCACGCACCCCTAGGGAATAGGAAGAGTACGACTAGGAGTGCCTGGAATGAACCAAGGCCCGTGAAGCCAATCAGACCAATGAACACCGCGACGATGGATGCCCTAGCCCACAACACCTCAACGCTGAGGGCGCGCAGGAGCGGGCACGCTATGTATACGATCAAATCCAACAAGGCAAGAGGGAGACACCCATCTTCCCTCGAGCCAGCCAGAATGTCATGGAGGACACCATGATGATGCGGATAGCCCCTGAACCATCGACCGACAAGGGAAAGCGCGTTCATCAGGAGCTGCAAGACCTGCTAGAAACTATGATGGTATAGCAGGCTCAAAGCTCTATGGAGAGGCAACATCCCGAGGCCAGCCTCATGCACATCTCCTCAGCGCAAGGCGCCCCCGAGGGGTACCACGCACCAAATGTGCTCTGGCCCGATGATGGCGGCGTGGCACGCAGCCGAGAGCCTTCCCCAGCGACAGCCGCTATGTCAGGAATCACAACGCCCGTCCGACTCAAGGCGCCAGACGCCCTAGGCCAGACTTGGCGGGCAAAGACCAGCTACACTATGGTGACAGCACCCTGGACAATCATGGTCGACACCCCAGGGTTCGAGATGCTCGACACAGCCCAAGCCCGGACGCCTACAGCCCGTAGGTGTTCGCTAAAAGGATCCGATAGACGTCATTCTCGGTGTGTTTCCGCACGCCGTTGAACATCGTCAAGTACTCCAGGGACACCAACCCCACTGTGTGGCTAGAAGACTTCCGTGTCGCCTGTCGAGCAGGCGGGGCGAACGATGATCTCTTCATCATCCAATACCAACCACTCTACCTCACAGAAAGCACCCGAGAAAGGCTTGAGCATCTCCCCATGGAAAGCATCCACTCATGGGCAGACTTCAAATGCACCTTCATAGGGAACTTTTAGGGCATGTATGTGCACCCTAGAAATTCCTAGGATCTCAAAGACTGCAAACATAAAGCGGGAGAAACTCTACGTGAGTACATCCGCCACTTTTCCAAGTAGTGCAATGAGCTTCCCAATATTGTGGATGCGGACATGATCGAAGCGTTCATCTCACTACCAACGAAGCACTCGTCCATGAGCTCGAATGCTACAAATCGCGGATGACACGGGAGTTGCTCGACCTCGCAATAAGCCAACCCTCTGGCTAGGAGGCCATCCATGCAATCTTCTGCAAGTACAAGGGTAAGGCTTAGGAAGAACCCACAGACGAGACTAAGGACCGCAATCGACGGGGCAAAGGCAAGAAGGGCAGCTAGAGGCGCCATGACAGCGAGTTTGCCACGGCGGTTGATAGGGTCCACAGGCAGAAGACTGGCAAGCTCAACCATGTCAACTTCGACAAGATAGTCAAGATGCCATGCCGCAACTATGGCTATCCAATCAAACACACCCTTGAGGAGTGCGACCTTATCAAGCGTTACTTTAGTGGTGACTACAAAGCAACTAGCACGGACGTGTCGTCCGGATCCACCATCAACGAGGAGAAAGGGGATGCGTATCTTGACCCGAAAGGGTGCCTCATGTTCTTCGATGGACCGGTGGCGTATGAGTCCAAGCGCTAGCAGAATCTTATAGCTAGGGAGGTCAACATGGCTGCCCTAGGCAAAGCTGTCCCATCTTTCCTGAAATGGTTAGAAGCTGCAATCACTTTCGACAGAAAGGATCACCCCGACCACATTCCGCAACCAGGACACTTCCCTCTAGTCGTGGACCCGATCATCGGCAAGACCTGCCTATCTTGTGTCCTCATGGACAGCGGGAGCGACCTCAACCTCCTCTATGCCGAGACATACGATGCCATGGGCCTATCACGAGCGGGGATACGACCATCCGGTGCTCCATTCCATGAAGTCATACCCGGGCTCTAGGCCGTCCCCCTTGGGCAGGTTGTTGGTGGTCACTAACATCAATTATAAACCATCCATAACCTATATTTATACTTAATTCCATCAACAAACATAGGTGTATGGGGTTTAAACTAATAAATTCCATGAGTTTTGGTGAATCTATGTTTTCAGCAGGGTTTATCCAGAAAACCGTCAAGGGGGACCTATTCGTCAAAGGAAATTATGGAATTCCGCCACGTAATCAACATGGGAAGACTCTAGAAGACTACAGAAGGAGAATCACTAAAGCAGAGCCCATGTTTCTGACATGTGGGGCTGGCCGGTCCCACCTAGAGGTCACCCAATCTATGGGCCCCCCATGTCAGCCTCCCGTTGCTATGTCGGTTCTCCACCACCTCCTACGTTGCATCTATGCTATCCTTTAAGTCGGTTTGATCCAAGGGCTCATGTTGGACACTTTGGCCTATATATAGCAGCCCCTGGCACCCTCCCTGGAGCCATCATAAAACCCTAATTCATATTCTCCTCATCAGAATCAGAGCCAGCTATCAAGAGAAGATAGTCCTCTATAGGATCTAGTCTTATGAATAGAAATAATGAGATAGAGAGTGAGAGAAGAGTTTGGAGGAGGTGCCGGCCTGTTAAAGCTCTCTCTACGGCTTGTACCTTGGTAGATCCA